ATCCCTTCTAAAAGTCAATATGTAAGAATTAAAATTATCTACTACATTATTTTTGCCATAGTTATTTATAAATGGCGCCAACGATAAAAAAAGAACATTTAATTGCACGAAGACTTTAGATATAGAAACAATGTCCGGTACGCACGCGCGTAACCATAAATCCTTGATAATAAACAATTAAACCTAAAATAATCTGTTTATTTCTTTGTATCTTTACATTTATAGCTTAGACACGTTTTCACGAACAAATTCGGGAAATATACTAGATATATATGATCGATAAAGAGCATAACACTAAATAAAGGAATATTGAATAAAAACACCTAACTTCAACATAGCAGAAAATAAAAAATACATCTTAAAATTACTTCAGAAATTTAGTCGAGTTGCGAATCATTTTACCTCCAAAGTATGTCTGTACGAAATTTTAGTCCAGAAATATTTATTTCGCTTCTTATTATTTGTTTACTAAATAACTAGACACTTGATTGAACTATAAAATCTTATAAATGTCACTAAAATCTAGTGACAACCAAAAGTAGGTAATAAAATTTTTATTTTTATTACTATTTGTTACCATTACTGTCAAGACTCAAGAGCTGGTTTTCTTCGTATGTTTTTTTTTTTTATTTTATTTCTATTATACAGTCTACTTGCCAATATATTCAAACAATGTTAATTGATTTCATTTGTTGTTTTTTTTTGGAATCAACTCCGTTTGTATAATGGCCCCTTAAAATTGTAAAACTCATTAATACTTCTCCAAACTTTAAGCTTTGGTATTTTAAATCAGTATTATTTTCATATTACTTACTAGTATTTACTCGTGACTTTGTCCGCATGATCGGAATAATATACCCTTCTCCATCCCAAAAGCACATATTTGACGAATTTAGTGACAATCGATTAAGCCACCAAGTGTTAATAAACAAATAAATATACTCACTTTCACATGTATAATATTAATTAAAATATAGCTGACTTTATAATTATGTAATAGTTCATTTTGTTATAGGCAAGTCATCATCATCATCATATCAGACTTTAACTGTCCACTGCTATACATGTGCCTCCCCCTTGGTTTTGTTAGTAGTTGCCCTGCTTGGCAGCCGGATTGGCAACCGCGGTCAGGCTTTAGAGATGTTTTAAGAGGGGCGTTGTTGCTCATCCCTCGCCCTTCCTTAGTCAATTCTTACAACACCAACGGGAAAGGAAGGAGTGACCTATTCTATGCCGGTACCACACGACTAATACTCAATATACACGAGTAATTTGTGACAATTAGACAAACATTATATACTCCTAAGATCAACAATAAAATGTTACGAAATTATTTTATCTATGTACTCGATTATTTTTCTATCTACAACTTCATAATAAATCCACTCTACATATTTTTTTTTTCGAAAATACAAGAATATAAAATGCGGTACTCTAGATTAAAATTGCCTTATATATTTAGATAATTACCTAATTAATATGTTGATCTATTCCAAATAGTATATCTTCTCCGGCTCTTTTGTTATCTAGGATAGATAAACTTAATTTGTACTCATTAATTATATATTTTAGTAGTTATATTATGTTAAAAGGTTCTTTGACCTCGAAATTTTCCAACTGATGAACATGTCAATTATTATGTCAATAAAAAAATATGGCTTATTAATATTAGTATAATGTTATTATTTATAATCTACCTACATCTTTACTAATATTATATTTTAATTATAAAAATAAGTTCCTTTATTTCATCATAGCCTTGGCTCTTTTAGTGTCCGAGTAATCGCTGAAATTTACATAGATGAGCTAGTCAAAGATAACTTACGAACTACTAATAAATAGAAACTTTGTGATTAAGTAGATATGTGCAACTTCTATCTATGTTATAGGTCACTCAATCTATATTATTATGATAATTAAATATTTTTTTAATTGAACTGCATTTGATGTTGTCAGAGATTAATTTTATTCTGGTCTAGTCAAATATTTGCTTTTAAAATATTAACAAGAATATTAACTTTACTAATACTAACCGGTAACCTTTAGCTTTCAGCAGAAAAAAAAGTTACACTTACTAAGGTAGACTTTCCGTTCCCGATTCACAATTTCATAAAAGGTGACTAAGAGAGCAAAGTACAATACAATACAATATGTGTACAATAATGCAAGAGAAGAAATTCCCTGGATAATCTGAGAAAAGCAAGCTATATCTTACTTTTTTGAAGAGATTTGTCCCAATAGTGGGGTGTTAATAGCATAGTTATTACACACAAAATAAATAAATGAAATAAAATTAAATTAGACATGAAAGTAGACAGTGTGGAAATTTTTAGAAAACTTAAATAAATCTCATATAAATGGATCGCAAAAGATAAAATGTATTAGTTTAGAAAAAAATTGTAGGTTTAGAAAGTGTTTGTTTTTTTTTTTCAATGGACGTTAATGAAATGGTAACCCTACCAGCACTATCGATATACACTAACGGGGCACCAGTGTAGAATGATAGGAAATCAAGTCAGTTAGCCCCTTGCGATGAATTTTACAATAAATAATCACGATGGTTTCTAGGAAGAACCGCGTGGAGGTCGACGTGACAGGTTATATTGATAGCAATGGGGATTAAAGTACCCATTACTAACAATCCTTCTCCCCCCTGTAAGTGTTTGTTTGTCTATAAAGCCTTATACGTAACACGTTAATCTCAAGAAGCGTTAAAGAAGAAAACCTATGAACCGTGTCATTGATAGCTATGTTTTTTTTTCTGAGTTATGTTTTTTATTAGAGTTCTTTGTTGGTAAACAATGGACTTTGTAAGACGAACGGTTTGTAGCTCTATGTAATAGCGGAAAGCTTTTTCTTCCTGTGGTGTTTCTACATAAACTTCACTCATAAGGATAAATAAGATAGGTACTTAGTAAATATTATAACACTAAGATGAGGTCAAAGAAACCTGGAAATGAAATCCCATTACTTATTGCCTAATTAATAGTGTGATGTTAACTGGATAATATTACTTATTTTTATTTAATTGAATTAAAAAATAAAATATTCATTTAGGGTTTTATAAGACATCACTTATAACACCCACGGGAAGAAAGGAGTTGCTATATAATTGCTATTCTTTGCCTGAACCACACAGCTAAGGGACTTAATGTTCCCTCTTACGTCCCTCTTAAAACATCACAAACCGCGGTTGCTAATTTGCCTGGGTTAGCAACTGCAGTTAGGCTTGTGATATTTGCGAAGCATGGCAACTACTGGCAAAATCCCCCTTCATGGTGGAGGCTTATGGTCAGTTAACAGCTGATATGATGAAGACGAGACTTATGGTTCGTAACGAGGTGTGTATAGATTCCATTATCATTACCATAATGATGATAGTGATAATGATATATGTAGGAAATTATAATAGTTAGCTAGAGTTTTTACATTTAGATTTAATATTTCGACTTCGTTAACAATATTTTCCTAGATATTGTTTCTCATGGGATTTCTGGCGATCAGCCCACAATTTAATTAAAATTTCTTTATTTTAAGTTTAACAGTATTGGGATATTGTTTCTGAAAACTTATTAAATAATATTTCGTAATTTATTTAACATTTTTTATACTTATTTTGGTACCGAAAAAGCTTAGGTCTCATTGTATATAATTTTAAAAATTTCTTTTTAAATATTTATTTTAAGTTTTACAATACGTAAATTACATTACATAATTACAACTAAAATTTACATATACATGAATACAGTTTTAAATCTAACCTATAAACAGTTTGAATAATAGTATTCAATATAAAATAATAATAATAATATCTTATCACTATTTGGATAATATCCAATAGTCAAACTATGACATTGTAGTTAGAAACTTGATTCTACTTTACTCCTATACATCTAATTATATTAAGAAGTTACACCTTCGAATAATCAAAAATAAATTCAATGTGTCCAATTATTTTTAAGCTTTATTTAATCTGTATTACTAATATATAAAGCGGAAGAGTTTGTTTGTTCGAACGCGTTAATCTCTAGAACTAAAAGTCGGATTTGAAAAATTTCTTTTTGCATTTAATAGCTCATTTCTTGAATTATAAGTTACTAAACGTTATGATACGATCACGAGTGAAGTCATAATAGTTAGTATTGTATACAAATACAAAAATAATTCAAAGGCTGAAAATTTTAAAGCTACAAGCAGTCTACAATGTTATTTGAACGAATATTTGCATAAATACGATGCTATCTTATACGACAAGAAATATAGAATACGTTGTTTGATTAGTGGGTCGCTTAATAACAACATTAGAAGCTTTATTAAGTCGTTATCTTAAGTAACCGTGTCTCCGCCAACAATAATATAAAAAGGAGTTTCTTTTTTCAGTTGTCAAGTTCTCATCAGTTGTGTTGAACGATGTGGAATAAAAGTAAGTAGAGGTTAATTGATATCTGCGAAATAAAATTGATTCATTATCGATCAAGTTGTTGATCGAAAAAAACGTAGTATTGATAAAAAATAACGACTAGTTACGAGTACGTATCGCCGTCAGCGCACCAATGGTCGCTTGCATAAATTTCAATTTTAATGAATGAATCCTATTACTTATGTGATCTAGTTAATTAAATTAATGCTTTAAATTAGATAAATCAAGCGTTAATCCAATTGATTTATAGATTTGTTTTGCTCTATATTTTATTAATAAAAATTTTTGTTTTAAAAAAAAATGTTGTTATCAAATATTACAAATCGTAGAAACGTATCAACGGACTTTTGTAACATTATAAGGAAATAGAGCAAATGTTATCAAGTATATTTCATTTTAAATAGGCACAACGCTAAAGGGTTAAGGTTAAATACATGTACTCCATCATACATCCATTTTTTTAACAAAATTGGTTTAGTACAAAAATTTTATATACCACTAAAAAAAAATATAAGTACACATATCGAAATACAATAAAAAAACACGGCTCAAAGGAACATACACGTAAATCTATACCAACCTGAATTATTAAGTTACCAATATCGGGGTAAATCATTCACTCATCCACAATTTTAGTAAAAGCAAAATATTTGTGTAAACTGTGCAAAAAAAAAGTTTTCTTTTTACGAAGTGCGTTCGCGGACCGCGTGCCGGTGCCGTTGTGACGTAGCCAAAGCACGTCCGAGCGGCAATGCGCTTAGATATCGACTATGCCGCTGTATGACCAAGCACGGCACATAGTTCAAATAGTATTCTACTATTGTATGTAACTCTGTACCCAGCTTCCTTTACCTGTATTAAAAATAAAACGAAAAAATACCATATGTAGTCCAATTAAAAATAAAGTGCGCATGACAAAATTACGCATTTCCTTTTTCTATATTCACCTACTTTGTGAACGGTATTTTCCTAGACATTGATCTCAAGGGATCCCTGGCGATCAGCCCAGAGTTTCAATTACGAAAAGTATTAGATGCTATTTTTATCCATATAAGCTATAACCTTCAACAGTGATCAGATAGGTATGTAGGTATACAATAGTGCTAAATAGATAAATACCGAATAATTAATAAATGTTTGTAGTAAATTAAGTCTTTAAAAATTTATTGTTTGCTGTGTGTAAAAAGAATTAGTGATATTTTATTGGTTTACTACATAGTGATTTTATTTTCTTATTTTTTATAATTTATTTACATAGCAAAGTTTATGTGATTTAAAATAATTTACACTTTTTACACAAATTTCATAATACATATTTATTTATTTTTGATTTCTGTTTTTTTTTGAGGTTTGAAAATTACTAAATTACTAATTTGAAAGTTACATTTGTATGTTAACGTTACTATTAAAAATAAAATTATAAGCATCAAAATAATACAATAAAATCACTATTTATTAGCAAATAAATTAGTTTCTTTTTTTAACAAATAATTATTACATAATAGCTAATAATTAGATAAACTTTGCATTCCATTCAACATTGAATGTTATTGATGCGTGAAAACTCCATTTCACGTGTCCAAGAGTAGCTACAGCCCGTCCCAATTTAGTGTGAGAACAGTGTCATTTGATTGAAATTTCCCATTTCCCACCAATCCGTCAATGTCTCAGTTCATATCCGAGAGAAAACATGATTTTATGCGCTCATTTTATTTTTGTTATTTTCTTGCAGTAATATTATGGTAAATTGATAATATGTAAGTATTTTTAAAACGTAAAGCAGGTACTTAATATCTATATGGTATTAATAATTTGTTTATTATTAATTTAATTTTCTTTTTTATTGATAAATTATTGTTAATTTTTTCTTCTAATAAACATAAGTCGAATACCGACAAACATTGTAGTCTCCGCTGTTAATAATTGTATGCACATCTCTGCCATCAGTATTATATAGAAAAAACCCTTCAAAAGACTTTAAAAAATATATATTGTATATATATATATATACACAATTATTGATCCGTAACATTGCCATTCGTAGCAAAGATGGCCTTATAATAGTCCCAATTAATATATACTTTTGTCACGCAACATTAAACCACAAGTACAATTATAAAAATAAAGGCCTCTCAGTTCGATTAAACACATAATTATTCGTTATTCATCTGACATACTGTGCCCTTATCCCTATTTTCCTGATTATATTGAACCTTATGGGAATGTCTTAGGGCTTAGTTTAATTAAGCCATATGTGAATCACTATCGATATACGCACCAGAATTCGGCCTACAATAAGCGACAGCTTATCTACTCACATACTCATTACGAATAATTTACTAATTGAACGTATTTATATTCAATACGTTGTGGCAATCCATATCATTCTAAAAATTTACAAGTGGGAACAAATATTCCTCTCTAAGGGTTCCACACAATTACTCTTTTTTTATTGTCTATAGCTTTAATAAATTTTTCATTCAGTTTCTATAAAGTACATATAAATCGGTGAGAAAAAATTACTCTTGAAGTACTACCAGAGGGAGACTTTGTTCAAAGGATCCACTTTTTCCATTCCTATGCAATTATGCTTGCAATGGCTGTATTTAAAATGAAAAGTGAGATATGAGTGTCGTATTAAAAAATTACAAATTACTTTTTAAGAATAGCAACAACAAGAGTAACAAAAGGTTTTCACAATATATGCTGTTCATGTTTATAGAAAATGATATATCCTTTCTAACGAGTACGAGTATGTTACAGTTAGGCCCATTCTATATTTAAAAAAAAATCTTGATAAAATACTGTTCACCTACAAGATTAGACACCGTTTATGTCTTGGAAATAAGGAACCCAAAAAACAACAGGACTAAATAGGTAGTCTATTTATGGGTGCTCATAGGCGATTTAAATGTAGCGAAGTTTGGTGATGACTCCTAATTGTTGAACATATAGGTATTTGGTATTCTAAAGACACTAACTACAACATCATTGCATAATTATTAGTCTTTAAACAGTGTTGTTTCACCGCTACTATAGAGATACTACGAACACCCACGCGAACATCTCGTCTTATGCATACAAATATTTGGTTGTGCGCCACTCGCAGATGACTCGGAACTTGGAAAATGAGAAATCTAATGACAACTGGCACGTATTTTTTTATGCGAGTATAGGAATTGCAAACAAATTAACATTTGGAAAGTAGTAGACGTCGTCTATGGACCATAGAGTATCTAATTTTACATATGAGGAACTAATAAAGTCATGGATTTCATAAATTGTTCCAAGTTAGATGACATCTCTTATGCATCATTTGTAAGAACTAATTGTATCAGAAATTGTTATAGCTAAATTGTGCCTCCCCCTTGGGGGGAGGGGTCCATTTATTTCGGTAAACAAACAATGACAAAATAAAGAACAATACATAATATCAATCAAAGCAAAAAAAAACATCGAGTTTTGCCCCAACACCGTTTATTCCAATTTTGTCAGTAGTTGCCACGCTTGGCAGGCGCATTGGCAATCGCAGTTAGACTTTAGAGATATTGTAAGAGGGACGCTGCTACCACTCTCTCGCCCTCCCTTAATCGCCTCTAACGACACCCACGAGAAAGGAAGGGGTGGCCTATTTTATTCCAGGACCATACGGCTGAGTCGATTTATACATACATACATATCTGTCACCACTAGGGTAGGCAGAAACAATGGAACGCCAAATGCTTCGATTCAAACAAACCTCTTTCGCTTCTTCCACTTTCATCAATCTTTTCATACACGCTCGCCGGTTACGGGTACTTTTATTTGGCCTTTCTTCAGCACGTCGCCTATTTGGTCAACATACATCCGTCTAGGGCGGCCCCTACCGACATTTACATTTACATCGATTTTTACTTATTGGCAATACCATAAGAAACCGTGTTGTTTTGTAAATATAACTCTGTTAAGAATGCATAATAATAAGATCCAACGGTATGTCAGTTTAACGGTTTTATAAATATAGGTTTTGGTTGAAATACTAGTTATTGCTTTTGTTGTTTAGGTACTGTTATTATCTTATACAACAATAAAATACAATTTTATGTATATTTCATGTGCAAAAACATACCTATTTTGTAACGCCATATCCATAGTAGAAGAAAAAGGGTGTTAATAATGGGATCTAGCAGTCTCATTGCGAACAATACAGACTATCTGGCGGACCTCCACGCGGATCCCCCAAGAAACGATTGTGGTAAATTCTTGTACAATTCTTCACAATGGACTAGCTGATCTGCTTTCATCCTCACCTATCGTCTCTCATCGGTACCCCGCCACCGTATACAAATAGCACAGATGGGATTACCGTTCCATTTTCAGCCACTAAAGAGAAACATGTCATAGTCAAAGCTTAATCGGTCAATAGTGTACCTGTTTATGATTCTATATCTACTGCTACCGTATTATATATATAAAATCTATTTATTTTTATGATAATTAAAAGTGCAAACAAGTAGATAGCCCATGTTAATGGGATCTCGCCTATAGACACGAATAGTACCATGGATATTTTCAAAATACACTGTGATGTCTATGATACCTCTAATGCGGTGTCATTGCCAATATTGAATAAGTTGAAATCAATATCATTACACTTATATAACTGTGTTCTAATGGTTAAACTAAACACTTCTCAAAGAAACATAAATCAAAATACAACAAAAATTTAGGATCATCATAAATATATACGGATGATCTAAATTTTCGAACGACTTCAAAAAGAACAAAGTCCCCAATTCAATTTTTTTTTATACTACTTAGAATGGCAAACAAGCTGACGGCCTACCTGATGGAAAATGGTAACCGTCGCCTATAGACATGAACAGTACCATGGACATAACAGAGTGTACTGTTTCGCCCATGATACCCCCCATGCGTTGCCATTCCTGAGGACTCAGGTGTTATTCCTCTGTACCCAGCAAATTCACGCCCTATCCCACCCTTCAAAGCGAAACACAGCCATGTAAACACGACTGCTTCACGGTAGAAATACGAATGGGACAGAAGTACCCAAGCAATCGACTTTAGTACAAAGTCTCCCTCTGGTCAATTTCCTTATATTTGTTATCTCATAACTCCTTCACTTGTAAATCGATTTGAAATTTTTCGATCGAAGAATTTTAGATTAGATCCTTATATTTTATCAAAATCGTTTCGTTAGTTTTTAAATCATAATTACTGGGTTTTCCACAATTATAGATAGGTTTTTTTGTGGAACATAAATTTTAATTATTATGTACTTTTGTGACCCATGCTTTTTTAGTAAAATACTTTATAGATATATACATAGAACATATATACATAGTTTTGCTCGTACAATACTTTCTTTTACTTTCTTATCCAATTCCTTATGCTAATGATATCAACTTCACCTATATAGTTATAATAAAGTCCGCTTTCGTAACAATAAAAATAATATAGTTTATTATTGAATAAACTCACACCTTTAATAAACAACAATTTTATTAGATGTACAAGTAATAAACAGGAGTTATGTGGTAATTATATCCTATAGCTAATCCAATGTATCACAATTGTAAACCACTATTCATGAGGAATTTAGTATATGTATGTAAAACTCATTATTTTAACACTAACTCATTAGTGTAAATATCTTAGTTTAAAATAATCTCTAAGTCGCTGTATAACGTAGGTAAATAAAAAAACTTTTTTTCTTATATTTCCTTTACTTACAAAGGAGTTTTAGCGTTTGTAACTGGTAACACATGAAGGGTATTATG